ACGGAAGATTTAGTGGTTAAAGAGACGCGTGGATTGCTTGTTCAGATGCTTATACTGACGACTAGCGGAAACCAAGTAGAGACAACTAGGGTGTCAGGACTATATGATTACCCTATATCAACAATTTTCACAATAAGGAATATACTACCAGTGGACGCTTGTTCTACGTATGTATCTATATTCATCGTCTGCTAGAGCGTTCGTGCGTAGTTTGTTTACATATTGACAATGAATACCCAAAGACTAAAATTATGATCCTCTGGGGGAGGTCGGGCTCTCAAGCTTCAATCTCGCTCTGAATCTCGGAGGGAGAACTTGAGATTGGCCTCCTGTGAACTCCTGAATATGAGCACTGTATCATACGACATAATATGTCGTAAAAATGCATATCGTCATACTCGTCTACATATGATATGTCACAAATGTACTACAATATTCCGAAATATTTTCAGGATTCATATTTACGAGTGCCCAGCAGCCCAGGCCTGCGGGCTGCGGATGATTTGATTTTTCCTTTCAGTTTGAGAGGGTCATGAAAAAGAAGGTCATGAAAAAAACATTCCACAGAATCAAATGACAGAAACTCTGTTGTAATTTAAAACCAAAAAAAAGAAGTAAATAGAATCTACCCATTCATACGAGATGTGTTTTAAAAGACCGATACATACTCTCACGACTTCACGGCCTCACTGACTCTCACACTGTCAGACACACACAACAACAAGTTGTCTCTCAGACTCCCTGAGACCTGAGTCACTGTTGTGACTGTCAACTCACATTTATACTCTGGTCTCTGAGTCTGGACAGTAGACAGGGGAGTCTGTACTCTGGAGTCTGACGACTGGACTCAAAAAATATAGATAAACTATTTTTAGTCATCACTCTATTTTTTAAGTACATATTTATTTTGAACAATCAAATTTGAGATCCAAATGTAATGAATTATTTTTTATAATTGGTTTTACAAATCGTCTACCACATACCAGATGCCTTTAACCTGGGCCCCGGGGGCGGCTTCAGGAGTTCAGGACTTCAGGCTTGGCCCCTTGTTGCTAATGAACTGTGTTTTACATACTGTTTTTTTAATTTTTGAAGAAAAATATTTCTGCGGCGCTCTACTGTGGGGGAATGAGTCATTGTAAATAAATACCGACGGAAAACAATCAATACATATCCTGTTTTTATTTCAAATTTCAAATGGAGAGTTCGGGTCAAACCGGTTGTTCCCAGTCCTTACAGAAAGGCCCAAGGGCCGAGTCTTGCACCTAAAACCTGAAGTGAGTTTTCACGTGCTTGTAATTGCATACGCACATAGTATTTACAAATACAACAGCGCCTGTATTTATAATCATATTTCAACTTGTTGCATACGTGTGAACTCTGATACGCGCATACATATCGCTGAAGCTAGTTGGGTGACCGTGTAGTCACGCATAGTGTCAGAGAGCTTTACTGTGATCACAATGGCGCCCGACAATAAGAGTGGTAGGAAGCGGGCTGCGACTGAGTCAATAAACAGCACAAACCCATCGAAAGCCACAGCAAGTACTGGTATTAACACTTCAAAGGGTAGGGATGTGTTGGAAAATGAGAAAGGCAAGAAGAAGATGAATGCACCAGACAGCACAAACGGTACGAACGGCACGAATGGCAGCATTGATATTAATGGTTCGGGTGTGAGTGTGAATGCGGATACAAATGTAAGTGGGGGGAGTGTGCAACACGATAACGATAAAGATAAGAATAACGGCACTAACAGTAAGCGCAGCCGTAAGAAACGGAAGGTGCAACCAGCAAAGAAGGAGGCCAAGGAGACTGGTAAGGAGGGCTCGTCCAGCTCGCTTATCGACCACGATAATAACACTACACACACTGACACCCTTATCAGTAGTAGCACTGCAAATACAGATACCGATTTAGATTCAAGTGCAAACACCAAAAGTATAAAAATCGGTGGCAATACCACCACAAGTACAACCAGTGCATCCAATAATAGTACGCTTGCCTCAAATCGATTAGCCGCACTAGATAAGGTAATCGGAGATGCAGCACCAGTCATGCATAGTCTGGAGAAGCGGTTGCGGAATAAGGAGGGCATGTCCGATGATCAGTTCCACGTGACTGAGCTCAAGAAGAGCAACGTGGACACAGATAATGTTTCTATGGAGACAGATAGTACTAATGCTATCGATGGTGCAAATGAGATCGTGACTAGGGGGAAGAAAAGCAAGGTAGGGATGTTTATGAAGGATATATTACCTGATCTTTCCAGCACAACAACGACAACGACGAAGAACACGGCATCAAAGGTGGGTACGGCTGGCTTGGATGGGATTAATGGTCTTGTCGATATAAACAATAAGGGAACAAGCAATACAAACAGCACACGAGCAACTGACCCAATGGATGTGTCTGGTACTGTTGAACTAAGTGCGGCGGGTGATACTACTACGGATGCGACATCTGAACGAACGAATAGCACGGACAATAATAATGGCACCAAAAAGAGGACCTCACAAAACGAAGCGCAATTGAACACAGGCGACGCCGGGGATAAGCTGTTGAGCGGTACAGAACTGTCAAAGCCCGAGACTATCACGAGTGTACGTCATTTAATGGAGAAATTTAGGCAGTTGCTGGGAGAAGACGTAGAACGGGAGATCCATGGGTTGCTGCTCGAGAAAATCGCACAGAAAATGGCGAACGCTGACAATGGCGATACACACACAAAGAAGTCAAAGCCCGAGACTCTCATGAGTGTATGTCGTGACGGGGAGAAATTAGGGCAGTTCCTGGGAGAAGACGTAGAACGGGAAATCCAGGAGTATCTGCTCGAGAAAATCACACAGAAAATACCGATCGCTGACAATGGCGATACACACACAAAGAAGGACGACGCAAAGAAGGATGCGTCTTCCCTGTCTCTGAAGAGTTTAACTGGAAATTCGCGCATTAATGCGCAGCAGGAAAGCGAATGGAGGAAGGCTTTGTTCAAGACCTTGAAGGGTATAGAAAGTAATAAAACAGACAAAGTCACCTCGGATAGTATTGTTAGTGCTGACAAGAGCACTCCCGCGAGGATCAGCAGTGATAAAGCTAAAGAGAATGACTCAGTGGGACCTGTTAGTTCGGCGTCGAAGGCACTGAGTGCGCAAAAGCGTTTGAAACAGAAGCAGCAGACCGCCGGGAGGCTATACGCAGCCATGGAGGATATCCTCAACTGTGGTATATGCTTCTGTGCCCCGGAGAAGGAGATCTATCAGTGTCCAAACGGGCACTTGCTATGTGACGAGTGCCACAAGCGGCTTATAAGCACAGACAACAGTGTATGCCCCAACTGTAGGGCAGTTATGTCGGGCACACATCCGACTAGAAACATTATTGCCGAGGCAGCGCGCGATGAGTTACCCGCCGAGTGCGCGAATAGGGGGTGTACGCACGAGACAACGCTGGGAAGAATACGGGACCACACTGAGAACACGTGCGAGTACCGAACAGTGTCATGCAAGTTTAGTCCCATAGGGTGCGATTGGACGGGTATAGCCAAAGACCTGGGCGAACACGAGGCCGGGTGTGTGATCAGCGTGTTGCCGGGGAGTGAGTTGCTGGAGATAGCCGAGAAACAAAGGGAGAGGAAAGCTCAGGCGCAAACTAACGCGAAGAGTGTACAGCAAAAGGAGAGCGAGATTATAGCCTTGCTATCCAGCAAATGTAGGAATATATCCATCAAGGACGTCAGGCTGGAGAAGGATGATGTAAGTGGGGTTCTTGTGTGTCATATATTATATATACATGTACATGTACTTATATATATATATATGTATATATATATATATATATATATATATAGTATATATATATATATATATATATATATACTATTTTAGTATATATATATATATATATATATATAGATATATATATATATATAGTATATACTTATATTTTATTATACTTATATATATATATATATATATAATGTATGTGTGTGTGTGTAAAAAACGTGAATATGTGTGAATTTACCTATATATTTAGATCTATATCTATATTTACGTGCATGTGTATTTATAGACGCCCTTTTTCTTTCTCGATAGTATTATGTATAAATGTTACATCTCTATATTAATATTACTGTTTGTATGTGATCGATTTCTCGCCAACAATACACTTTCCCGCCGCCGATGAGAGTTCAATACACAGACCTGATCAGAGAAAATTCATGCTGATAACTGTACCTTGAGGCCCTATTTATTCTTCACTATTGTTTATTGCTTTGTCAGTACCAAGGTCACGTACATTATGTCCATTCTATGCGTGTATGTACACACCTCGGTCGCAATTGTTTCGATTTTATGTCTATTAATCAGTCTTCGCATATTCCTCATATTTATGTAAACCCACTATGTGACAGATACTCTAAACTTTCTTCTCTTTCTCTGTTGGCATGTGCATTCAGACACATTTAAGAAATATGAATATAAAGAAATTGGTCTATAACGATCGTATTTTTTTTGTTCATATAATGATAACAAATGTTTCCATGGTATATGAATACCAATCGTTTGATTATCAATAATGGTCTATAATCTGCATCGTTAAACATCCTTGTTTATGGTTGTTTCATGCCTCTATCATATCTAACCCATGCCCATCCCACCCGCTGCACAGATGGTGCAGGATATCTGCTGTACACCTTTCAAGGCCGTCAAACAACGGTGGATCATCAAACTCGCCAGCAAACTGCTCCCAGCTACCGGGGAGCCCCTCAAAGCGAATGCCACAGCCGCCGAGAAAGCCGCGCATGAGAAAACAAGAGAGTACAAAGTAGGTATCAGAATCGTACGCTCCGGCCGGATCGCACACAGGGGGCGTACAAAGATGTCCTTCGCGCTGATGGCTGGGCCTAGTCTAGCTGTGAGTCTGTCGCCTATGCTGCTCACACACACGTTTAGTAACCAGGATAGGAGCACGCCTGTGTTTGAGTTGCCGCTGAGTTCTGACGAGGCGAAGCGGTTCGTGGCGTGTCATCAGATACATTTAAGAATGATCTTCTTCGATCAACGTGCTGGACTTAATAGGTGAGTTCGGGTACTACATTTGGTTGTTTGTTTGTGAAATTGTGTACTAATCATATACGATTCTAGATATTCTGTATGTATTCTCTTGCACAGAAGTATGTGTATACACTGTTAGTATTCGCCGATCTTGTATGAAGGGAATTGTGCAGTTTAGGAGAACAAAAATCCGAAACAGCGTAGCCGATCTTAATCAACAGAAGAGCTTGTCTATATGCCGAATGTTTCGAGTATGATCCAAATGTATACGGAGAAAAGAAGAGCTTGTCTATATGCCGAATGTTTCGAGTATGATCCAAATGTATACGGAGAAAGGGCCCGTGAGAGTTCAATACACAGACCTGATCAGAGCAAATTTATGCTGATAGCTGTACCTTGAGGCCTTTTTTCATCGGTAGTTATAGTTAACCTATTCGTTGTTGCAGATTACATGGTTACCCGTCTCGCAATTCATTCACGTCTATGAGGTCGTTACACGTCTGTGTACAGATATTCAATATGAATAATACCTTCATAACAGATCGGCTTATATGCTAGTAGGATAATACTTAAATTTTCTGATGGAGTTCTGAGTCATTCCACTTGTGTGAAGGTTGTAGATATCACTTTGTGCTGCCGTATGCGTTTAATTGTGCATAGCCGCACGCATCCAAGAAAACGTTGGCACTTAAAAATACTATACTGTCTTATCAATATGACCTATATTTATTTAGTTCTACTAGCAGTTATTTCATCTCTGGGTCTTCATTGTATATTAACCAAGTATACCTGTCCACCCCTATCCCCCGTTTTACCCGCAGGGAATTCACCTCTCTCCGTACCAGCAACGGGGAAGTGTTCGACGGGCTGGATGCAGATGGCGGCGACTCAGAGAGTGAGTGTGAACACGAAGACCATCACCATCACGGAGATGATGTGGATTTGTTCGAGGAAAGCGATTCGTCTGAGGACGGCCATGACGGTCATGGGGCTGAGACGAGTACTGGTAACTGGATTTGTCTGTATTTTAAATACGAATACGAAAAAAATCTATCGCGATGTTGTCTTGGTGTGTTGTTTATTTTTGGATGCATATATGTATGTGTTTTTGGTGTTTGTGTACGTTTTGTAGTGTTGGTGGACGGTATGTTTCTCAGTGTATATGTATACATACGTATATATGCATTTTATTCATCCATGCATGAGGATATGCGTGTGAAAGCGGGGACGATCTCTTTCGCGGTGCTGTGGCTCGGTTTGAGGCTATGGACTCACCGGTCGACGGATGCTCGGGTCACTGGCATGTAGTATTCAGTTTGCAGGTATTGGGGAAGGTGTATGTCACAGCACTTTCTCTACTATTTCACACCTTATCTTCGCTATTCAGCTCATTGGTTTCAACTAACTACGAGTATTTTATGTATAAATGCGTGTGTGTGGTTTTTAATTGCAGAGATGGTATATATATGTGCATATATATAGCTATATTAAAATTCAAATGTATATATATATATATATATAAACTTAATATTAATGAATAGGAATATTCTATATATATATATATACATATATTTAATTTATTATCAATATACGTGTACATATAGCATATATCAATATACGTGTACATATAGCATAAATGTGCAGGCCAAGATAATATCACAAGGCCGTCTATGAATTCTTCTTGCTAGGGTACTTAATGTCGAAGATCTGACAGGTAGTGATCTCAGATGAGATCACTATGTCATCCTCTTCGTTAAGTTTCCAATTTTATTGACTCGACACAGTATTCATTTTATGGCTCGTGGACACTAAGTATTTACGTACACACACACACACACACACGCACACACACACATATATATATATATAATATATGTTTATTCTAAGTTCTATATTCTATATTCTATTTATGTATAGAACAATTATTCCTCCCAGAACAAGCTATATCACTAGGCGTCTATGAGTGTATACTGGGGTGCTGAATGATGAAGATATGGCAGGGCGTCTCACCAGGGGAGTCACTTCGTATCATACTTTTGTTGTTGAGAAAACCAGTTTTGATTCGTTTACGTCGAGTAGTATGTCATCGCTTGTTAGTGAGAAGATATTTTCGCGTGCATATATATATATATATATATATATATATAGCACATATTTGTTCCTCGCGGATTAAATAATATCATTAGGTGTCTACGAATGTATACTGGGGTACTTGATTATAAAGATATGGCGAAGAGTGTCAACAAGGGCGTTCATCCCACGTCATATCCTCGTCAGTGAGCACTTCTGTTTCCACTCGTAGATGCCTAGTGATATTTTATGGCTTGCGGGGGAGAAGGTATATATGCGTAGATATCTATATATAGCTCGTATATTTCTAGCAGACTGAGAATCATCATTAGGCGTCTTAAAATGTATACTAGCGCGCTTAATGATTAAGATGTACCAAAGATTGCTACCAGGAGATGCCATTTCAAGTCATATCCCCAGTTTTCCGTTTGCACAACTTGATGCGTAGATATCGAGTGGTATTGTCTTTTGGGGAGTCGTACATGTGTATGGAAATCTCTTAGTGCATTTATGTACACTCATCCATTCACACACACATACACACACATATATATATTTATGGTTGTATATATATATATATATATATGCATATTGTATATATAGATATATAAATATATATGCATATTATATATATTTACATATTATATATATACATGCATATATTATATATACTCGCGGCTTTAAGATATATCACTCAGCATAGCATTCTCCTTCTAGCTCGAGATTTGTATTTTTTTATCAGTCTATATGTATATATCTGTATCTTTATATCTGTCTAT